GGCGGGAGCCCTGCGACCGAACTTGAGACCGGGGCTGAGTGGGCTTCTGCTAGCGAATCTGGGAGGCTGCCCTGAGGTTGGGAGGGGGTGGACCAGCCGACGTCGTAGAAATCGACGCGTCCCGCTTCGGCGCCGGCGACCCCCGCGTGCCGCAATGCGGAGGCGCGGCCCTGCGGCCGTCAATGTGGCCCCAATGCTTGCCCCAAGGGGCCACGACCTTGCAGCGCGCCAGATCCGTTCCCCGCCCGTTCACCCTGCCTGGCCCTCCCACCTGGAACCCCAGCTCCAGCTCAGAGCGGCTCTCTGCAGACGGACGCGGGGGCGTCCGGGGCTTCACCACCGAAATGAAAGTCGACCCTTGGCGGGCCGTGTGACAAAGAGCAGAAACATGGGTGTGGGGCCTCAGAGGGCGGAGGGGCGCCCTTAGGGACAAAGTCATCCCTCGGAGAGGGTGCACGGGTCAGCGTTCCGGGCTCCCACACAGCCTCCCTGTTCTCCTCGCCTCCATCAATAACAACACCCACCCCCCCCCACACACACACAGCTTTACACAGTCCCACCAGGCCAGCTCCCCCAAAGCCAGCGCTAAAATGCAAAATTACATATGCCAGAGCTGAAGTCAAAGACAAGTTCCCCTACTAAGAACAGAAGAGAGAAATGAACTCTAGTCAATGCCTGGGCAGATGTAGACGTTGCTAGTAAATTCTCCCTCAGCTACTCAAAATCCACCTCGGGGTCCCTAAAAAGTCACACTAACTAGAGGGCTTTCTTAGGGGGGGACTAGCTGGGGAAGTCACAGGCGGCCCCTTCCGGGCAGAGCCCAGACCTGGGCTCCGTGGGCGGGTAGTGGCATCTCCTGGCAGAGAGTGTCCATTCAGAGAGCGTTTCTTTAAGAAGTCGTTTGCTTCCCCGAGTTGACATGGGTCAGGTCCCTTAGGGACCCGAATTGTCAATGACCACCCTCGGGTCCAGGGCCGTTAAAAATTTCCAGACAGCTCCAGGCTCTGCTCTTCCGGCCCTCTGACCTCGGGGCGGGCGCCTGAACTCCTCAAGAAAGCACCGCTCCTCTCTTGGGGCCCTTGAGGGCCCCTAGGGGCCCCAGCCCGAGGTGGCACCCAGAGGACTTCAGCACTTCAGGGGAACCAAGAGGTGCGATCTACCTCCGGCTGGAAGGGGGCAGCGTCAAAACGGCAGGCCGACGACCCTTCCCCGGGGTTCCCCGTGGGCTCGGGATATCCCGGGTCGGAGGCAGGGGCCCCAGTTGAAGGCTCTGGGAATCCCGTATTTAGAGCTCCACTTGTCTGCGACTCCCTCGGAGGGGCCAAGACAGGGTGGGATGGTAGGGGAGGCCCCACGGGAGATTTTCCAGGAGGGGCTTGCAGGTCACGGCGGGGGAGCTTCGAGGGCTCACCGTTTCCCACACCTCTGTTTCTGTCCGTTCCTTATCCCTGCAGCCCATTCACAGCCCAGAGAACCTGAGCTCCGCCCCACACCCGCCGGCAGGTGAGCGGTGGTCTAGGGCCGATCTGTGAGACAAGGCTCCGGCTCCGGGCGTCGGCATCTCTCCACGTTGGCCCACCCACCGCCAGGACGAAAGAAACAACCACGCGAGTTCACGTGTTCGGCTTGTGTATTTCGGTCACTTTCCAAGCCGGGACCGGGGGCGGCCGGGGACTCCCGGGGCTTCCGAGGAGCTTCTGGGCGTCCCCTCCCGAAGTGTTGGGGAGACTGCGGCTGCTCGCACGGTCACACCGGCAGCTCCAGAAAAGACCCGCCGTGTTGGCCGGGTCATCCCACCCATCCTCCCCAGCTCGGCAGCAGGGCCAGCCCGGATCCTGCGCAAATTCGCCGTCGGGGCACCGGGTGCCACCGCGTGGCCCCCGAGATCCCGAGCGCGGGCCCCGGAGGGGCGCGGGCGGAGCGAGCTGAGACGTTGCCTGCGGAGTCCGACGCCCCTGGCGGCGCGGAGGCTGCAGCGGCCGCTCGCCCTCCCTCGGCGCCCCTGCCCGGGACGCCTCGGAAACACCCATTGGAAAAAAATTTCGGGGGGTTTTCTAGCGAGGGGGCGGGCGGAGTGTCGGGAAGCTCAGACCCTCCCTGGACGAAGGGACTGCCCTGGACGAGGTCGCTCCAGATCTCCCGACAGACTGACATTGCCGACGGCGTGGCAGTTTGGTAGGCGCAGTTCGGAAGAGTGACTGTCGCTCTGACAGCGCTTCCTCCGCCAACTTCAGGGACCCTTCCCCTTCTACGGTCAAGTTATCCCACACGAGAGCTCCTCGCCCTGGGCACGAGGGTCAGGAAAAAGCTGAAAACAACAGGAGGAAAACCTTTTCCTGCGTCCCCCTCCCAGCTTCTATAAATCCCGAGAGCCCCCTTTCCCCAGGACTACAGGAAGGCTTCGCCCCCACCCAGCCAGACGCGCCCCCCAACACCTTCTCGGGGAAATCTTGTGTTTGTGCCTCAAGCTTGTTAGAGGGCAAACGCTGCAGACCGAACCCCTCTCTGGGGCAGCCAGAAAGGGATCCCCGCCCCCCCACCCCTCCAGGCTTGGGCAACGGCCGCCAAGACAGCAGAAGCCGCCCAGCCACGGGAGCTGCGAGGTGGTGGTGAAATGGTGGAGTCCATGTGTGTGTCCTGAAACACCAGACCATTTCCAGGCTCCTCCTGGATTCCTGGGAGAAAAGGAGCCCCAAACAGGCTTTGGGGGGTTCGCTTCCGCACCTCGCCCCTCCCCCCGCCCGCTCGAGCCCCGGCGCAGTCCCCACCCAGCATTCTGGGACTTGTGTCAGGGCGGGAGCGGAGACCCGGATGGCTCTTTGCCCGCCCCCCTTGCTCGTTCCACTCTCGCTCTGCTTTTGCTCCTTTCCTTTCTTCCACGGACGCTCAGCCAAGAGATTGCGCAAGCTTCCTGCTGCCGGTCCTTCAAGGGCCCGGAGCCGGGGGCCCGGACACACCCCCGGGCAGGCGCGCCCCTGCCCCTGTCACTCGGGTCGCCCTGTTCTCACTCCGACCCCACAGAGCTCGCGGCCCCGCGGGCGGCGCCCTCGGGAGGCCTCGTGGGGCGCAGCAGCTCCCCCAGCCGGACGCCTGAGCTGCACGCCGGAACGCGCCGTCTCGCCGCCGGAGGTGCTAAACTTCACACTCGGCGGCTTCTCCGGCCGGGTCGGAAGGGCCTCGGCTCGACCGCGCCTGCCGGCCGGGGACCAGGGAACGTAAATTCGTGACCAGCGCTTGGCTGCTCGGCCATTCCATTCGCCTCCCTTGCGTGCGGCCCCGCTGTGCCCGGCGCGGTTTCAATCCTTTCTTGGCCTTCCCTGCCTTCTCTTTTCGAAGCCCTTCCCGGGACCCCACCAAGTCCTCTCGGGCCCCCAAGTAGACCTGGACATCCTCTTCGTCCCCTCTTTGTCCTCCCTGCCTCACGCCGTGTTGGCCGCGGGGTGGGGGTGGAGGGTTGCTGCTGGAAACTGGACCTCCCGCCCTCACTCCGCCAAAGACAGTGTTGAGGGTAAATGAGGAGCCCAGCAGGATTCGGGGAGGGATCGAGAACGCTTTGGTAGGGTTCTTGAGCTCTAGGGCCCCAAACTGGCTGCTCCTCTATCCCCTTTCTCCTCTCGGCGCTCTTCTCCCTGGCGATCCTTTGCACCCAGTCCTCTCTCTCCTCCCTATCCTTTCTCTTCCATTCTTCGCCTTCCTAAATGCCCTCAGCCTCGTGGGGCGGGGCGAGGCGGGGCGGCGGGACCCGCGGGGCCGGGGGGGGGGGGGGTGCGGCGCGAGCTGCCCCGGCTCCGATTCCGCCCCCTACCGGCGACCCCCTGGGAGTCTGCACATGACGCAATTCGGTGCAAATGGAAACTGCAGTGGATGCTCCCGTGGCCCCCGGCAGGGGTCCCCGGGCAGTGTACGCTGAGAACAAGAGGCGAAGGGGGCAGGCCAAAGCGCTAGGCCGCAGGCGAGGGGTCGCAGCCAGATCCTCGCGGCCCCGCAAGGCTCTTTACCCCTGCCTCGGCCCCCCGCCGACACACCTCTGTCCGGCCCGGTCCCGTTCCCTCCCTCCAGCGTCCCTCTCCCAGGCTCTACGATCCCTCCCCCTGCACCTCCCCGACGCCCTCCTCCTCCTGGCCCCCTCCCGCGACAGAGGACCTGTCAGGCCTGCAGTGCGCGGCCCGCCTCTGCAAAGTCACCATTTGGTCCGCGATGTGACACTAATTGCTCTCAGTGGTGCCTGGTGCTTTGTTAAACATTTTTAATGTTGATTTTATTGAAAAACAGAAATAATGCAACATATGCTCTGCCCATCTTCAGTGCTAACTGGAGCTGCAGCTGGGCCCCCTTTAGAGGCCCCCTTGGGGGTTTNCCGGGCTGGTGGGGTGGTGGGGGGAGCGGACGGGAGGCGGGGTGGAGGTGGGGTGGAGGGAGGAGGGGGTGGGGAAGTCGGTGGCAGGCACTGGGGAAGCCGAGCCGCCGAGCCCGAGCCCGGCGCCCTGTGTTGTACTCCGCTCTCCGGGAAATGCCATCACTAATTTATGCACTAAAAGGAGCCGGAGGAGCTGGAGAGACGCGGGGCCGAGCCGGGGAGGCCGGCGGAGGGAGGGAGGGCGCAGGCACTGACTGATGTGCAGCAGAAAATGGCTCCTTTCCCCTTTCCCTCCACCGAACGGCTCCATATTGCAAAACCAAAAAAAAAAAAAAAATTAAAAAGCGACGAAAATGCAATTGTGTGCCTCTTCCCTCCTAGTGGTGCAGGGAGAGGAAGAAAAAAGGCAGAAAATGTTGGGAACTGTCACTGCGGCGCTTTTGGTGGGGAATTTTTTTTTTTTTTAATTTGAAATGCGAAGGCACCGGATGGAGACAGACGCGCAGGCACACGCACACACACACTCACACACACACACACACAGAGGCATATTTTTGTGTTGCTGAGTATTTGGGGGTTGCTTGCCCGTGACAGCGGGGTCCAGGGCCGCGAGGGGGTGTGGGGGGGGGCCGCGTGGCTGACGGTGATCGGATTAGGGGTCAAATGTAGAATGGCTGAAGCCCTCGCGGAGACTCGGGGCTGGGGAGAGGAGGAGGGGACTGCGACTTTGCATTTTGGCTGCTTTGCACGCAGGGTTCCTGGTGAGCAAAGTGGCTTTGGAACATGTCGCAGTAACATGCTTAAAATTCTTGACAACTGCAAAATAAACTGCTAGTTTCATTTTCCTTACCCCTCCCCTTTCTTCCTGCCCTTGTGTGTTTATTTTGACTTGGGGAGGGTGTATCAGGGACCGTGTCAGGCCTGCAGAAATTTACTCTCCACCCCCCACATCCACAGCTAAATAGCTTTCAGTTCATGAAGACAGAGTAGGGCCTTATGTCATTCCCCACCTGGAGGCCACAAAGCTGGCTCGGTTTTTTTTTTTTACGCCGTGTCCCCCTCCCTTTTCCCTTGCAAGATATAACACGTGGGAACCCGAGGAGAACATCCTGGATCCCCGTCTGCTGATCGCCTTCCAGAACAGGTGAGCGTCCCCCAAGCACCCGCCGCCGGCAGCCGTGACCGTATATGGGAATGGGAGAGTGGGCCAACGCTGCAACAGGACAGGGGGAAAAGGCCGGGAGGGGGGCTGGCAGGAGTCCCCTCCCCCGAGTCTGAACGGGCACGACTGGGGCCTCGGCTCCTCTAACCAACGTCCTTGGCGGTTGCTGCAGCTTGGGGTGGGGGCGGGGCAGGCCCGGAGAAGGAGAGGCTTGTGTTTGGGGGAACTGCGGGAAGGGGCTTGCGGGTGGCCCTACAGCTGCTCGGAGAAGTTGGGGCTGCGCCTCGGTTCCCTGCCGGCCCCTCTCCCGTGGCTACCTTGGAACCCCACCCCCGGAGCCTAGGTGTTTCTTTCCTGCTGCCACTGGCCGCTTGGCACGGGCAGCTCTCGGGGCAGCTCCAAGGGAGCTGGCATTGTGAAACCTCCGGACGTCACAGAACTGAACTTAACCTGTTGGGGACTGGAGAAAAGTTTACAAGACCTTAAGCCGCCACCCTCAACCCCCAGGGAGCTTGGGGTCGACAGGGGGCAGATTCTGTCTGGCGCTATGTGCCCTTCACACCTCCCACTAGGCTACTTGGTGGGTCTGGCCCCCATTCTCAGGCAGGGGGAGCTTGGCCCACCCGCTGTGGGGTGGGCACTGCCTGGTGGTGGAGGGGTGGCTTCTGACGAGGGGTTCGTCGCGCGCACAGATGCTTGTCACGCTGCAGCTGCTGCAGCTGGATTCACCACCGGTGGCTGTGGTTCTCTGTTTCGGGAGGACAGAAGGGGGAAGGGCGATCGAGGAGGGGCGGAGCAGCAGCAGCCCGCGGAGCTGGGCCACACCGCGGCCTTCCATTCCCCCTCCCCCTTTTATTTTGCATTATTTCCTGTAGCGCGTTTGCCTCTAAAACTGTAAACGCTAGCCCCTTGGAAGGAGCGACCATCTGGGAAGTTGCCCTCCTGACGCAGGAGGGCGCCGAGAAGGGATCCTGCCCAGGTTCCACCTGGGAGTTCACCAGCCTGTAACCATGTCAGCGGCTGATGTCATGTTGCATAATGGATCCCCAAAGATTTAAAATGCAGGCTGTTGCAATGCCATGCAACTTTGGAGTCAGGCCCCCGTCCGGGCCCCCAGGCATGACAGAACTCTGGGTTAGCCCAAGGGTAGAGGGGTGCCTAGGATCTGGAATGGGCTGCAACTTTGGCCTACGCTGGAGAGGCACTCGCTTCTGCCATGGAGGGTTGGGCAGTGCTAGGACCACCCTCCTCCCAGCCTCGGACCATCCTCCACCAGACTGCCAGCGAAAGCCTGACAGCTGTATTGACCAGCGCCACCGCCCACGGGCTTTATTAATTTGGAAATGAAGGGAAGCTGGGAACCCGGGCTCATCGAGTAGGCGGTGCTTCTGTGCGTCGCCCCGCCCAGCAGCTCCGCCCCAGCCGTACCAGAGCTGGTTCACCTGGTGGCTGCGAACCTGGCCAGGCCCTGGCCTCGGTGTCCGGCCCCCGCCCCCAGCCCCTAATTGGCTCATTTGCCGCTGTGTAAACAAGGGCGCAGCCCCTCCCCCTGTTTAGTGCCTGGCCTTTAAGAAAACGAGTCCTCCCTTCTGCCGGCGGCACTCGTTATCTGAATCTTAATGAGGTCATTAGCATCCCGTGCCTCTGACGGGGAGGCACCCGGTTGACGCTCACCTCATTTGGACTCGTTTTCACCCCCTGGACCCCCGAGCCCACTGCGTTTTGTGCAGGGCCACGGGCCCAAGGCTGTGGGCACCAGTGCCAAGCTGCCCAGTGTCAAGCTGCAGGCAAAGATTCAGGGCTGTGGGGGGCCCCCTTTCAGGTATGGACATCTGAGGTGGGGGAGCTCTTCGGAGAGGGCCCCTTGGGCAGATAAGGGTTGGTGCTGGGGTAAAGTGTCACTCTGGAACCGGACCGAGGCGCCCAAGTGACAGTGGAGGCCACCTTCTGCCCTGAGCCCTTGCTCCCTCTGGTTCTGGCTGGCGCCACGGCTTACCACAGTGGGGGGCTTAGCAGGAGGGGAAGTGCCTGAGGCTAACAGCACTGCGCTCTGTCCCCTCTTCTGTCCCCTCTCCGCAGGGAACGGCAGGAGCAGCTGATGGGATACCGGAAGAGAGGGCCAAAGCCCAAACCGCTGGTGGTGCAGGTGAATACACTCCCGGGCCCCAGGGCCAACCACGACTTTTTCCCTTGACGTTGCCACCTGAGGTGCCTCCAGGCTTGGAAGTCGGGGGGAGTTCCTCTGAAGCACCTAATTCCACTTCATCTTGACTTCCCACACCCTTCCCCTACCTGGTAGGGGCTGGGACACTCCTGATGCTGGAGGCTTGCTCTGGGGCTGGTCTTATCCCTCCTCTTACCTCCCCCTCTATTCCCATACCGTCCCCCCAGGTACCTACCTTCGCCCGTCGTTCCAATGTGCTGACCGGACTCCAGGACTCCTCGGCTGACAACCGCGCCAAGCTGGAGCTGGGCGGTCAGGGCAAGGGCCAGGGGCACCAATACGAGCTCAACAGCAAGAAGCACCACCAGTACCAGCCGCACAGCAAGGAGCGGGCGGGCAAGCCCCCGCCACCAGGCAAGAGCGGCAAATACTACTACCAGCTCAACAGCAAGAAGCACCACCCCTACCAGCCGGACCCCAAAATGTATGACCTGCAGTACCAGGGCGGCCACAAGGAGGCGCCCAGCCCCACCTGCCCGGACCTAGGCTCCAAGAGCCACCCGCCCGATAAGTGGCCCCACGGTGGGGGGGCCAAGGGCTACCTGGGAGCCGTGAAGCCCCTGGCCGGTACGGCCGGGGCTCCAGGCAAGGGCTCCGAGAAGGGTCCCCCCAACGGGATGACGCCGGCCCCCAAGGAGGCGGTGACGGGCAACGGGATTGGGGGCAAGATGAAGATCGTTAAAAACAAGAACAAGAACGGCCGCATCGTGATCGTGATGAGCAAGTACATGGAGAACGGCATGCAGGCGGTGAAGATCAAGTCCGGGGAGGCAGCCGAGGGCGAGGCGCGCTCCCCCAGCCACAAGAAACGGGCTGCTGAGGAGCGTCACCCCCCGGCAGACAGGACTTTCAAAAAGGCCGCGGGGGCGGAGGAGAAGAAGGCGGAAACGCCCTCCAAGAGGAGGGAGGAGGAGGCGCCGGGGACCGGGGACCCGCAGTCCCAAGAGGCCGGCTCCCGCAAGCTCTCCCCGACCAAGGAGGCCTTCGGCGAGCAGCCTCTGCAGCTTACTACCAAGCCCGACCTGCTGGCCTGGGACCCGTCCCGCAGCACACACCCACCCTCCCACCATCACCATCACCACCACCACCACCACCACCATCACCACGCCGTCGACCTAAATCTCTCCCATGCGCGCAAGCGCTGCCTCTCCGAGACCCACGGCGAGCGAGAGCCCTGCAAGAAGCGTCTGACGGCGCGCAGCATCAGCACCCCCACCTGCCTGGGGGGCAGCCCCGCCGTGGAGCGCCCTGCGGACGTGCCCCCCGCCGCCGCCCTCCAGCAACCGGAGGTCATCCTGCTGGACTCGGACCTAGACGAACCTATAGACTTACGCTGCGTCAAGACGCGCAGCGAGGCCGGGGAGCCGCCCAGCTCCCTCCAGGTGAAGCCCGAGGCGCCCGCGACCGTGGCGGTGGCTGCTGCGCCGGCAACAGCGGCCGAAAAGCCGCCGACCGAGGCCCAGGACGAACCCGAGGAGCAACTGAGCGAGTTCAAGCCCTTCTTTGGGAATATAATTATCACCGACGTCACCGCGAACTGCCTCACCGTCACGTTCAAGGAGTACCTGACGGTGTAGCTGAAGGGCGTCGGAAGAGGAAGCGCTTCACCCTCTGGGGCTTAACACCTGGGGCCTGGGGGCGGACTCCTCCTCTCTGCAACTGCGGGAGCTCCCGGCCCGGCCCCAGCGCGAAAACGGCCGAAGCCGCGGCAACCGCGTCCCTCTGCCGGGTCTAGGCTGGAGCGCCCGGCCCACACTGGCACCTTCCACGCCGTGCCTGCGGGTCTCGCCCTCATCTGCCGCACCCCCTCTCTCGTGGACCTCCGGGACTGACAGGGCAGCCACTCGCGGCGGTCTAAGAGTTATAGTATTATATTTTAACCGTGCTAACTTGTCAAGTGCAGACTTTACTCCCGTTTGTACGTGGTGTTATATTGAAATGTATTGTTTGAGCTCAAAAGGCCCACCACCCTCTTCGGGCTGATATATATATATTTATTTGTAGGTATTTATATATTGAAATATAAAAACCTAGATTTATGGAGTTTCCTCTAGATCACGTTATATTCTATATCAGACGAACTATTTTCTGTTGGCCTTTCTACCCGTTCATTCAGTATTTCGGTTGATTTCATTTCCTCCCCTTCCAGGAACTGCAATACCAGTAACCTTGGTATATATTTTTTGATACTGTACACATGGATGTGTTGTTTCTATGTGCAAAACAAACAAAAAAAAAAAGTTTGTTAAAAGGCTAAACGAGCTCTCTAGAAACTGCTGCTACTAGAAATGTCTAAACTATAAGCTTCCAATTATTACCTGCTTGAATGTAAATATTAAATGGAGATGTTGAAGGTGCACTTTCACTGTTTGAGATTAGCTAAGAGGGAACGTCAGAGACTGGGGGGTGGGTGGGCAGCGGCTGGACCCCTCTCCGCACCCTACTTCCGCCTTAGGTCAGGCAGGGGGAGGGTGGGGGTGGGAGGACCTATCGCATCCTGCGATAAACTTTTGCAAAAGCAAAATGAACTGGTTTCACGAGCAGAGGCGCCCGCACCCGGGGAGTGACCCCGCTCCCCGGAAGTCGAGAGGCTCTCCAAAGGAGAGGGGAATTCCTGCGGGGGGGCTGTGCTGGCGTCGCCCCCGCTCTCAAGAGTCTTCGGGCCTTGGCTGCCCACCGCGCGGGCAAACTCGGGATCTGCATAGTGGGGGGAGGGCTGCAAGGCTGCTCGAGCTGCACGGAGACGTAGGTGGGGCTAACCTCCCCCCACCCCGCGCGCCAAGCCCACCGGCACCTGCTGATTTTTGCCCCCCACCCCCCAGGACGCAACACACCCTGGCGCTGGCCCTGGTGCGGCAGGGGTGTTCCTTCCTAATAATCCCTGCCCGGCAGGGCAGGTTCCGCAGGGAGGGGAGGGGACCCTCCCACCCTCTCCGGCGTCCCTTGCTGCCATCGCTGGCCCCGCCCCACCGAGGAAGCTGCCGAGGCTCTTTCTCTGCCAGGCTCTCTCCCCGGAAACCACCAGGCCAGAAGCCGCGACTGGAGGCGCCGCGAACTCGGCCAGGGCAGGGGGCGGGGGGCTTCCCGCGAGGTGGATGGGTTGTGGGAGGGGGAAAGGGCTTGCGAGAGCAAGGCCTTGCCTGTTCCCGCTTCCTGAGTGAGCAGGAAAATGTGGGACCCCATCTCACCCATCCTGCTTTGGGTGGCTAGGCAGTGGCCCCTGGTTTCCCCACGCAGGAAGGGGTTAAGAGTCCCCAGGGAACGAGGGGAGTGGGCCGAACTCGAACTCCGAGGTGCCGCTCCCCCAGGCCAGGAAGCCGAAATCCGGGACTGCTGCGGCCGGCCCTGGCCAGCTTTCTGCAGACGCAGCGATCTTCCTCCTGCCTGGGGTGGCCCGAGCAGGGCCAGGGGCCACGGCACTGAGGGCCTGGTAGGCGCGAGGCTGTTGCTGGCCCCCAAGTCCCTTGCCTGCCGGCCTGGGACTGAAGAGCCTAGCCTCTGCTGGCCGCCAGGGCGGAAGAGGTCAACGCGGTTCATAATGGGGGGTGGGGGGGTGGAGATGTGGCGAGAGAGCACAGTGTTGGGAAGGCCAGGGGAAGAGATAGAGGGCCGGGAGGGCGGGAGGCCTGAATGCGGACAGTGTGGCCAGTGTTGGCTGCAGGCCACCAAGCGGCTGGAGGTGGGGGAGGGGTAAAAAAAAACCGTTGGGAGTTTCTAGCCCTGGCTTTTGTGAATTGTCCCTCCCACTATCCCCATCACCCCAGCCCCCTTTAGAGTGAGTTAAACGCTCCCCCTCCCCCCTCGACGTAATGAATGCCCTTTGCCACCCTGGGAGTGGAGGGAGGGGTAATCTTGACTGCTCCTGGCAAACTGCCTGCTCAGCACTAGAATTGGGCCTGTCCTTCACTGACTGGTACACAAAGGCACATGCCAGGCGTGGATTCCGTCTCCCTGTTTTTCTGGTAGAGGAGAACTAAAAAATCGGGAGTAAGAAGGGGAACCCCTTGTTCAGGTCTGCTCAGGTGGTGACTTGGGAGTGAGCCTTGGTCCCTAGGGGTGTCCCTCCTGCCCAGTGGGTGGCCTCTGCGAAGCTGAGCCTGGGCAACAGGGGAGGGGAGGTAGAGGATGGCACTGTTGGAGAGCAGAGAAGGAAACTGCTCCACTACAATTTGCAGAAGGTATGGCCTGTAGGTGGCTTGAGGCCTTGAAAACTGGGCCTGGTGGTGACCTCCTGGGGGAGATCTTTGAGCAGGGTGGTCCTTGGAACAGCCTGGAACCTAAGTTCAAAAGACCAACAATAGGACAGAGGCAAATGGATAGGTCAGGAGGGGCAGCAAGATGCCCAACTAGCACGAGACTCTAGGGTATCCAAGGTCCCTTCTGGCCCAGGAGGAACAGAACTCTTGTTGGCTGGGGCCACTTAAGCATCTTGTTCCAATCAGACCCCACAGAGGTCAAGTGTCCCTCAGAGAGTCTGAGGTTCTGATAGCTAAACAGCTTATCTAGCTCACCAGGCCACTGCCCAGTTCTGTACTGACTCTAGAATCAATCAGGCGGTCTGCTATCACCCTGCAGAGAGGTACGCCATGGCAACTTGCTCCTCCCTGACTTCTCAGACATAGATGTGTCCAAGGCTCAGGAACACTCAAAGAGGGCCAGGGGCTCTGGCACTGGGACAGGGGAGGAGAGCCCAGTGGCCCAGATGTAGGCTTTGTGATAGATCTTTGTCACAGATGTAGGCTGCTTCTTCCTAATGGAGGGCAGAGATGTTTATCAATGCCTAACTTTCACAAGGGGTCCTAAGCCCTCACTTTTCCTAAACCCTCACTTTGAGCCCAAGTTCAGATGATTCTGGGATCTTAACCTTGCACACTAGGAAACCCAGAGTTCTGTCTTTTCTCCAAACAAACCTTTCTAATGGGGCTGAGCCTTGAGCATAGTGCTGAAGCTGACTCCTTGCAAAGAGAGGGGCACTTGTGTATCCACCCATCCCTCAGAGGCTGGTCCCTCCTGCACCAGCCAGGTTCCAGATTCCAACTCTAGTCTCCCTGTAGCCTGCACCACTGCCACCAACTCAATTTCACAAGAGCCAAGTTTCGCCCTTCGGTGTTAGCTCCATCTTTGGATCCTACCAGGGTACTTAGGAGCTAGGGTTGCCAGGCTGAGAATATAAAAATCTAGGGTGCTCAGTTAAATTTGAATTTCAAATGGACAATGAATCATTTTTTAGTGTGTCTCATGAAATATTTGAGATATACTAATACAAAAAAATAATAATAAAATGCTTTATGTGAATTCAGATTGAACTGGGCATCCTGGAATTTGTCTGGAACCCCACTTGGATCCTGAATAGTCTACTTAGTCAGTCCCTGCCCACAGGGAAGTTTAAGTCCAATAGGAGAGAGAAATTGCTGAGACCTGAGCCACAAGGGTCCTAGTGAGTGCGGTGATTGTAGTGACATTGAGTATGTTTGGCATGGCACAAAATGGTTGCTGGATGTCCAGAGGCCTTCAGCTGTGATTTAAAGGGGAAGGGAGTGGTGGAGTGAGCATGTGACAAGACCTAGACAAGTAGTGATGGAAGACCAAACTTGGTCGCTCCATCTGTTGGCCCACCTCGGGCTCCTGAGTTGAGTCTCTTCCCCATTCCCACTCACCCCAACAATAAAGTCTAGAACATACAAGGAGGGCAGAACAGATCCAATTGCAGCACCCACTGTGCTTAGTCGTGTGGGACTCTTTGTGACACCATGCACTGTAGCCCACCAGGCTCCTTTGTCCAGGAGGATTCTCCAGGCAAGAATGCTGGAGTGGGGTGCCATCCTCCAGGGGATCTTCCCAGCCCAGGGATCGAACCCAGGTCTCCTGCACTGTAGGCAGATTCTTTACCAGCTGAGCTACCAGAGAAGCAGTAACCACTCCCCCACCAAAACCCTTTCCCTTTCTACACCTCAGTTTCCTTAGCATCTTCAAAGACATGCCCTGACAGTGAGGATGAACTGGGTCGGGAAAGAGCCTTGAGCACTTCTGAAAAACTCCCCAAGTAAACACACGAGTTATTATTTTTTTTACCAGGGAACATTAAACATTTCATGTCAGATTCAAATGCCTTCTAACGACTTCTGGCTGAGAGTCTCAGCTTGACCCAGGAATAGATACCCAGTGATGTTTACCTCTGAACTGACTGCTATGTCTCCCTCCCCTCGCCCCCACGCCCTCTATAACCCAGTGTGCCTTTTGCATTCTGCCCTCACTCCCGGCTTGGTAGATAACCCATTGACCTGGAACCTCAGCCTCAGCCTCTCCAGCTTTATCCTGGTTCACCAAGGCTGGCATTGGGACAGGAGAGAGAGAAGAGCTGCGCCTGCATTTGTACAGAACCAAATCCTGATGCTTTTTTAATCAAGTTGCTTCTGTGGTTCCATGTTATGTTTGCAGCTCATCTGAGAAGGTGAAGACTCTAAAGAGGAAATAGTACTAACAGCGGATATTTGGATATTCTCGGATGCAAGTGTCCATTTCCTGTGGCCATAGTTCAGATGCACCCCCGCCCCCTGCACCCTTCTTTTCCTCTCTTCCCCTTGCAGTTGCTGTTAACAGCTAACATGGAATGAGTGACCACCACCTGTGGGGGGTACTTCAGTAGGTCATCTCATTTAATTCACAGTCTCCCATGAGGTAGGGCCCATCACTGTCCCTGTCTCATGGATGGTAAAATGAAGGCTTAGAGGCTGAAGTAACCAGTCCAAGGTCAAACATCCAATAAACAGGGGAACAGGAGTTCTGGGCTAGACTTGTCTGTCTGCAGAGGCTATGCTCCCAGCTTCCAGGGTTCTGTGGGTTCTTCAGAGGTGAGTTCAGGTCTCATCCCCTCCCTGAGGTTGTTCTAGATCATTCCAGCCTTTACCAGGGCCTGCTGTGCCTGAACTACTGCAGTAATTACTGCACCCCCACCAACTCATCAATCAACTGCTACAACATCCACGTGTGCAAGCGCCTCTGTTCTCCAACTGGACAAAGCCCCGCCCGTCTGGAAGGCAGTGGACTTGTCTTGGGTATTTCATGCAGTCCCACAGTGTGCTCAGTTCCTAGGTAAATACCTCGGAATCAGATGCCTCGTGTGTGTGTTTTGTCCTGTGTGTGTGTGTGTGTGTGTGTGTGTGTGTGTGTGAGAGAGAGAGAGAGAGAGAGAGAGATGGGATTTTCAGACAGTGATGCCGATCACTGCACTGCAAGCTATTAGCAGCAGACACAAGGAAGGCCCCGTGCCGCCCCCAGGGGCTCAGCCCCCATGACCACAGGGCTGCACAGCAGACTGGGGACTCAGGCTACTCCCTTCTGCCCAGCCACTGGCGGGTG